GATCCACTACTATGACAGTGGCGAACTAACCCCTAACTATCCTTAGATCGGCCAACAGTGGCTCAAAATATCGCCTCGACGATTTAATGGTCGAAAGTCAATCCACGATCGAATTTTCTTTAGTCGTACGAATTTAACTCCCCGATTAGCCTTTCCCTAATGGTTAGCATCCCAGGAATGATCAGTTCTGGGCGAGAACTAACTACGAGCACATTCATAAAACTCAGTATTGTATAAATCCCAAATGGACTATTTTTCAGGATGTCACAGGCGTAGAATGGGCTGTGCGATGGCTGGACATATTGGACTGAATCGGCCCAAGTTTGGAGTAAGTTCGGGTTCAATTGTGGATTATAGTGCGCGCCTAGTTTGGTTCTCGTGGTGGCTGATTCGGGTGATGCTTTGGGGAGCCTAATAGGGTATTTTGAGGATATTTATTGGCCTAGAATGACCTACTTGGTGGCTGTCCATACCGGGATTTAATTGGACAAGGCGCGAACAATTTGAGGCTAAATTGTGTGATTACCGGGAATGGTTGAATTAATTGATGGACTGGCTGAATTGTCCTTAGTTGTGATCAATTTGCGATGCCATGTTGAGTACTTATGTGACCGAGAAAGGATAGTCTTGGTGAACCTTAAACTGTGCAAGTTTAATGGCTTAATTGCGTGATTTTCGTGTGCCGGTGATGTACCATGGCTGATTTGAATTAATTGATTGATTGGGCATATTGATTCATTAAATTGAATATGTGTGGTGGTGCAATTGCATGCTCATTGTGAATTTCTTGAATGCCCAAGTGTGAACGTTATGGCCATGAGTGTGGATCTCAAGCATTGGCACGGCATGTGCATATACGAGTGTGCACGAATGACATGAGCATGTGATAACCTAAAATGCCCTGATGCGTTTACGCGGGGTTCAGATAATAACTGGTGTATGTGAATGTGTGATCACATAAAGCCCTGATGCGTTTATGCGGGGTATTGAACCCGTCCTGAGGCGTGTTACACGGGACGGTGCCCGGATTTCCGGAAGATGACCAACCTAAGGCGTTTACGCGGGTTTTGTGTTATGAGCCTGATGCGTTTTACGCGGGCCAGAGCTCGATCTCGAAGTGATGGACCTGATGCGTTTTACGCGGGTCGGACCTGATGCGTTTAACGCGGGTCGGAGGAGAAATTGATAAATGGCATGTGTGCAAGAGTGCAAGTGTGCGACAATGCATTGATGAGGCATGAGCATGAGTGCGAGCACGAGCATATGCATAACATGCGTCGTGACTTAGTGATATGCGTATATGTGTCTTGATTGAATTCTGTGGCATTATCGCGATTATATATATATATATAGTGCCTAACCTGCAGGGTCAAGTAAATTTTGGATTTGGGCCCGAGGGCTTGAGTCAAATATGTATTGGTCTGTGCGTTGTTTAGTACTCGTCAGGAGGTGCATGTTAGCCTAGTTTAGGTTTAGGGAACCTACTCGCTAAGATTTATTCTCAATGTTGTTTAAACCCCACCTTTCAGACCCCCGATCTTGAGGATGCCTGAAGTTCCGATACGTTTTGGGATTCCGCATCAGATAGAGCGGACGAGGACGGTACACCCCGTAGGGAACGGGGAGTCGTATGTTAGGCATTATACTTTAGTTTGGGTGGACGTGGGGGAGACGTATTACCAGACTCACGAATATGTAGCCTGGTGTTTCAGGGATCGTTTCGGGGAGTATGGTCCTCTCCAAACTTTTGATATCCCGTTTAACGGGCTGGGCTCGAGGGACCCCAGTGCCCCGACGAAGAAGTGGCTGACCCTGGCACTTCAGCTGAGGAGAGTGCGAGCTCTGATGGTGTACCTGTACAGTATGAGGTGGACGAGCCCGATCCGATGGACTCGGAGCCAACTGACTGGGACGCTGATCTGGAGCCGATAGAGGAGGATCCCGTACCAGAAGCCGAGCCTGAGGATATGGACTCGGAGGAGGAGGCCGCAGAGGCTGAGTTCGAGCCGGACTCATCGGACTCTGAGGAGGAGATGCCCGATAGCTCTTCATCCTCTGAGTCTTCTAATTCCGACTAGGACTGGGTTCCGTAAGTTTAGCCTTAGTCCTAGATAGGAGAGGACCAGTACCTTTTTGACCGGAGCCCTTCTAGCTTTAGTGACCCTGACCGCCCGGGCCACTTACCCGTTTTTGTTAGTAGTGGCCGTTGACCCGTTTTTGGTTTTTGATGATCAAGCTGTACATGAATATTGTATATGGTTCCCAGTATCAATGCAAGTGTATATTTGTTCATGTTATTGGTTGTGTGCTATCTTTGGTCATATGTTATAATTTCGTTGGGTATTGTATTGCTTCCGCGTGTGCTTTAATCTCTGTGTTGGGCGTTGGGTCGGCGACGCATCCTGGAACGTCGCACTCGAATCGACCTTTGCGAGGGATGTGGCGCGCCGTAGGGTGCGGGGCGTGATAGGAGAAAAGAGGATTTAGCAGAAAAAAAGCCACCAAAAAAACCAAAACTATCTCCAAACTATGTCCACCGTAATATTTTTACCCCAAACTTATTCTTATGACATTAAAAGCCCTAAATTTGTACCTATGTGGCATATTTACCCTCCGTCATGGTTCCGTTAGATGATTTTTCAGTCAAAACAACATCGTTTTCCTATTTTACTTAAACCACGTGGGCGCAATGTTAGGATTGTTTGCTTTCTGGCGTCCATATAGGTAAATTTTTAACGGTTCACATTAACAGAACTTTGATGGAGGGTAAATGTGTCGTACAAGTACAAGTTTGAGATTTTTAGTATCACGAAAAAAAGTGTAAGATAAATGTGTTATAGTAGACATAATTTAGAGTTTTTTGTTGCCTTTGCTAAAAAAGAAAAAATATATATAATATTTGGGTATAATATCCAAAGAAAGTCTCGGAGGAGAAGACCTCTCTTTATTTGACTATGTTCCTTAGCACTCCCCAGACAATCTTCCAAGTATTTTTGTAGATCTGCTTCGCTCGAACTATCTTTGTGCATAAGTGAAATCTCGGCTTCTAAATTTGCTGATTCAGGATCAATTTCGTAGAGTAAAGCTGGATCCATTAGATGATTGTCTTGGATAATAACCTTTAAATCGTCCTCTAGTGACTTGCATATTATTCGGAATCCCCACTTTTTCACGTTTTTTCCCGAGAGTGTTACGCTAAATTGTGCGTAACTCTCATCAATTTGACCAAAATCGACTTCTTGCCACAGCTCAAATGGTTCAAAATACTCAAGCCAGATACGATCCGATTCCGACCCAGAGTGTTCGAAATAAGGTATAAGGTAACTCCGAGGATCACCATTAACACGTGGTTGAAGTATAAAAGGTTTGAACTCTATCTTTTCACCATTACCAAGAGCAATATAAAGAGCAAATCCAAAAAACTTGTCATACAAATCCTCTGAAGCCATAAAAGATACGGAATCCTCTTCAACAGGGAGGACCCGCTCTGGCATCTCTCCTCCTGGGAGAGTAATTAGGTAACCAGGGTAATTACAAAACTTCTGTTATAAAGATAGAGCATTAGAAAGTACCGAGTTTGTTATCCGTTTCCAAATAGAAAATTCAATTTGAGTTAGTAATTCTAGCGAATTCCACTTTAAACCGGAGGTGAATAAGTGAGTATAGATCCAATAATCCTTGCTTGCATTAACATACAAGTCTCATGTGATAGAAATCATTCCCAAAAGCACAGTAGCCACCTACACTGATTATTCAAGCCAATGACATATGCAACATTTTCCTTGTTATTGGTATTGCTAGTATCCAATCAATGCCAAATACTGATTATTTACACCAAGATATAGACTATATGGTGCAAAATTTTTCTTTCTTAGTTAAACTTTTGTAATGTTTGGTTTTGATTTTATACCATCCTCATGATAACTGATTGAAAGAGAGCAATTTGAAATTATGTTTTACCATGTGATCTAGCCATATCAATTAATGCCCATCTAAAAACGATTAATTAATGAAGTTTTTCTTGGCTACATAATAAGTAAATTTCTTATGTAAATTACCTTTTATATATGGTAATTTGCTATGCAAGTTAATTATGCCGCTGTGTTTTCTAACTTTTTTTCACTTTTAGTTAATAGTTAATGGTAAAAAAAAATAGTAAACGACAAAGTTCGTGTATAACTACAGAAATGAATTTTTCAAGTTCTAGTCCTAGAGAACATTTAACTAACACCCTTTCATATTTCCTTTAACGAAATATAGGTTGATGGAGGAAAATAGAGCCAGTGATTGTGCGACACATGATATAGCCCTAGCACATTATTCTATCCAACTTTCCATTACTGTATCGATATGTCTATAACCCTAAGAGGTTTCACAAGTAGTAAACATTTTTATCCTCCTTTATCAATGCTAGAGTTCAAATCACCACATTGGCGCATTTTCTCTGTGATACTCCCAATAACATAAACCTACATGTCCTCAGTAATTACCCCATGTTAGTGGGTTCAGCCAGAGGTGGGACTACATCTCATCTAGTGGAGATTAGTTAGGTACTCAAAAAACTATGGGATATCACATTGATATAAAGAAAAAACTTTTACATTATTTTGATAATTTCTCTTGCAAGAATGCGCATTGATATAAACAGTTTGACCTCACTTTATATTCGTTTGCTTTTCTTAAGCCTCCAATTGCATTTTCTGCTATTGCAATAGACAAGCACACACTGGATCTAGCACATACTCCACATCGACTTATGAGAGAGAGAGAGAGAGAGAGAGAGAGAGAGAGAGAGAGAGAGAGAGAGAGAGAGAGAGAGAGAGAGAGTTTAACTTGGTCAAGTGGGGAAGTATTAGCCATGGTCAACTTTCTACGGACAAGATGGTGAAATGAAGTTAAATCTCCAAATTTTTGCAGAGATTCGCAATCATCTGCCTGAAAAGAATTCAAAAGTGGTGGAAGCTCGGGAATCTCTTGTAATTGATGGCATTCTCTAACATTCAGGTGGCACAAATGATCACGCTTAGCGATGGATGTAGGAAGACTAGTAAAATTGTTCCTCTGCAGATATAACCCTTCCAAGACAGGAAAACAGGAAAGATTCTCAAGAAACTCTACTTTGGACAAATTACATCTTGAGAGGTCTAAACTGCGTAACTTTGGAAGTACGGTCTTCATGCACAGATCAACTGAGTCCTCATACTTTGGAAACCCAATTAAATTGGTGCAAGAGCTAACTTCCAAGTGCGTAAGGTTTTGTAACTTATAAATGCTAGATGGAACATGTTCCAGGTTCTTGCAATTATATATGTACATTTGGTTCAAAGAGATAAGATTTTCTATTGATGTAGGAAGTCCTTTAATAGCGGTTGTTTGTAAATAAAGCTCTTCCAAGCCTTTGAGTTTATGTGGAATATCAGAGAACCTTTCAAATTTTGTGCATTTTTCAAGATGGAGACGTCGGAGATTTTTTGACTTCAGCTCATTTGCAAAAACACTAAGTTCAAGGCACTCCCTTAAATCCAACACCTGTAACTTGTCATGATATGCAATGGACTCATGGGCTTCTACCATGCTTTTGCAATTATGCATATACAATTCCTCGAGATTTGGAGTAAACGAGAGGTCAGGCATGCGAACCAACGAGTCGTAGTAACTGAAATTCATGTACTTCAAATTTTGGAAGCCCTGCAAGAACAGCGAAACCAGCTTTGATAAATATTCTGAAAGGGATAAAAGGGGTGTTTGTATGATGATGTTGCTTCCTTACATTTAAACCGTGGAATTCCCGTTTGAGAATAGGTTGCTATTGAGGCATATCAGGTGTTGGTCTTTCAAGAGATTATTATATTTTAGGCCGTCAATCGTAAATTTTGAGCAATTTGTTTATTTAATGTAGAGGTGATATGTTGTGAAGTCCACAAATAGGCCAATGCTACTGTTGTACGTAGACGGGGAAGTCAAACTCGTGAAATGATGGTAATTTAATATCGGATATCATTCACATTGTCCATGGTTTTATATGTTGATCATTAATAATATCATAATTTATTTGTAGGGGCTTAGCTTGATTGAGGGTTATAAAATTGACTACACAACACATGGGGGAGATTGGGTTTCTCAGAGGAAAGAACACGTCACAATTACATATCCTCAATTGTTATATAATCTATATTGACCGGGTGAACACTGAATATGTCCTTATTACATATCCTTAGGCTACAACACTCTTCATGTGGATGGAAGCAAGGAGCTTCGGTAGATCAGACAACACGGAACCTACTATTCAGGTTTCTGAGTGAATTTCTTAACTTATTAATTAACTTTTCATTCAAAGTTACTATAAACTGATTTTGTGAGTATTAAATATCGTGTTGAGAAATTACCAAACACTTAGAAACTTTACCAGTAATTATACATACATACTTACATATTTATGTACATTTTAGTAACTCAGAGTTAACTCTTATCATTTGACATTTTAGATATTATTTGAAAGAATTGAATAATATATAGACACACCATATAAAAAAAGTTCAAAAGTAAAATTGGGGTAACAATTAATAGAAAAGATTAGAATAAGTATCATTAAAAATCCCAAATCGACATGCATATTTACCCCATATTAATTTTCGTCTTACGAAAATCCTACACTGGTACGATTATGACACATTTATCAAAATCTAATTTTCGTTTAATAAAACATCTCGTACCGGTACTCCTCACCCAAATCTACTCTCTATTTGTAGATGAAAATTAGTTTGGGATAAAATGGTGCCGCATATCATGCAATTGGCAATCCCAAAATCTAAGTGAAGGGTCACGTGGCGAATATGCGAATGTGCGGCATGTGACAAAACTATACCACATGTCATGCCATGTGACAATCATAGTAGCATAGGAAAGTGCCACATGGTGAGTGTGGTTGTGGGTCACGTAACAAAACGATGCAACGTGTCAAGTCATGTGACAACCATAGAAGCAAAATGAAGTGTCACGTGGTGAGCACAAGAGTGAACACTTTATCGGATTCCAGCTCTAACTATATATAATAGATGAAGGTCAAGAATATATGTTTTATCACAAAAGAATTTCCCAAAAATCAATAAAATTTAAAATTTGTTTAAGTTTCTCAAAGACAATGAAACCAACTTTGAAAAACATTGGAAAGAAAATACAAATTTCATATATTAAATTCAAAAGGGCTAATGTAGGTAAATGCTCACCTTAAATTGATTTGGCACTACTGTGATACCGCAATTGCTTATATCAAGTCCCACTAATTTCTTTCGACCAGAGGAAAATTTGGGAATCTGAGGAGCACATCCATCCCATCGAAACCATCTTAGCTCATTAGGAAGACATATAGGATCTTGGAAAGAATTATGCACATTTCGCAAAATGAGCAATCTCAACCTTCTCATTTTTGTAAAATCATCAGGACCAATACATATTTCTGTCGGCTCAAGTAGCTCCACCACTATGGCTTTTACAACACAATATTCCTGTATAAAGAAGACTATTTGGGTTATGCAAGTTCAGTAATTAGAGTAAAATAGATAAGGAGCAGAATTTGATCATATATGCAAGTCTCACCATGTCACTTGACAGAACATCGACAACATCATCATACAGCCATAGTCTGCTGCGTTTCCCGAGATCATCGCTTTCTTGGTTCACAATATCCATGCCCATCAATTGAATCAAGTCATGCAATTGTATGTTCTTGGACTCAATTCTTATCAAGGACCTCTCCATGAGAATTTGTAATCCTATTACTGCCTTAAGATCGCAACTGTAGAGAACTTTCTTTACATACTCAGTATCCCAACCCTTAAAGAAGCAGGTAATGTGGAGAAAGATCTCTTTCACTTTTGGCTCTAGTCCACCATAACTTATTTTGAGCACATCATTGATGCCTTTTTTAGGAGCCGTAGAAATTTCATCCAGTGCACTTTTCCATTCATATTCTCTTCTACCGCGTAAGAAGGAACCTAGCACCTCAAGTGCTAAAGGAAGGCCTTTAGCATGATTTAGAGCACTATCCACTAGATCTGTCCTGATTTTAAAGTTTTGGTGTGTCAGAAAAGCATGCTTACTAAATAGCTCACGAGCTTCACTGTCATCCAGTTCTCTAATTTCGTACACATGATATTGATCTATCCCGAGATAAGTTAACAAATGGCTATCTCTTGTAGTAACAATTGATCCTACTCCCATTATGAAGCCACTTACCTTCTCCTACTGAAGCATGTAACTGGCGGAAGTCATCCACATCATCAAGGATAAGGAGAACTTTTTTGTGACAAAGTCTTTCTTGTATTAGATTAATACCTCTGTCAACATTGGACACTACTAATCTTTCTTTCAGTGCTAATATCTCAAATAGTAATTTTTCTTGCAAAGTTACTAAATCCTTGCAATCTTTTGAAACTTTTCGAACATTTGCCAAAAAACATGAATTCCCAAATTGATTGAAAATATCATTATAAATGGCTTTGGCTAAAGTCGTCTTTCCTATGCCTCCTTGTCCCCACAATCCCACCATGAGAATATCATCATCAGACTCAAGGTTTAACATCGATTTTAACTTAACCACTCGGGAATCTATCCCAACCGGATGTGTAGCAACATGCAAAAGTGTTCGGTCTAGGTGAGTGGAGATTTCCATCACAATTCTTTGTATAAGCTCTGACTCATCTCTGAAAAAAAAAAAGAAGAAGTTGTGGCATCGTTTTAGCAATTTGAATAAGCAAATAACAAGCAATTACTAGCCAATATGACAAAAGCAGTGCATCACATTTTTACATAACCACAGCCAAAACAAAATGTATTCCTACCAAGTCGAATTAGAACTCAAAAGAGCTCCACAACAATCGAAACAAGTTCAGGGTTCAACTTTTAGTCATCCAAGTGATTCATGTTCTTTTGATTTATACATGACGATTTGGTTATTTTTTTTGTTGAACTGTAATATGTAATTTATTTATACGCTTAATCAAATAAAGTTATTCAGGACTTTGAACGATGGTTGAGATTTTGATTTGAAAACTATCAAAATACACCGAAGCACGATGCCATTGCCTTACATGGCCTGTGCACACTAATTATCCTGTATCAAGTGTTGGCGAACTTTCTCTTACCTTCCAAAGAAAAGGGATAGGTGTAGTAACAAATACTTAACATTTTGTCCATTGATTGATCAAGTTTTAACATTTTATATTGTTCCAATAAGTCAGTAAAACTTTCGGGCAATGAAGTCCTGTTGTCAAATTTTTTTACGGGAAAAAGTCACGTGTCTATTCTATGGTTAGCTACATGTGATTTTTCAAACTCAAAATGCCACCGGTAACGAGTTTATGACTCGGACCTTACCCGAATGAAACAAGGCTTAGCAAAAGCCAAAGGCAGAATTCTATTGTTTCATGCCTAAAAAAAGTTTTCTTTTTATGATAGTGAATTTCAATAAGTGTTTGTAAGTATTCATAAAATTGTTGGTAAAAAATGATCGGTAACCTTTCCTTTCCCATAACTTGTTAGTACCTTATCAATGATTTTATGAAATCACCAATCTTTTTTATAATTAGTAAATAACTAATTTTTCGTAGTAACTTACCAAAATTGATTTGCATAACTTATGGCCTCGAACTTACTATTATATGAAATTACCAACATAACTTAGAGTGACTTATAAACATTCGTTATATTAAATAATTACCTGCTAGTTTTGGGTTACCAACTCTCACTTGAGCGACTTATGTTCTTTTAATTGACCATCTTTTTTATTGAGTTACCAACTCTCATTTGAGTTATTTACTAACTAATTTTAGAAATTGCCGATCTTAATTAGAGTGACTTACCAACTTCTCTACAATTAAGTTACCAACTAATTTTGGGTCATCAATTCTCGTTTGAGAAACTTGCCAAGTTTAAATTTCTTTTAATTATAAAATTTTCTTCAATTTTGCCAAATTTTATTTTTCTTTTTTAACTAAATCTTAAATTTACCAACTCTTATATGAGATTACTCACTTTAACTCAAGCTACTAAAGAATTTTCAGAAACCATAAGATGAAGCATCTATGCATATACTTACAATCATGTGTGTGCAGACTATTTACAAACAATCTCTATAATTACTTGTAAAAATTAGTTTCTTACACAAAATATGAACTCCACTCTACTTACCCATCTTTCAAATGCCACCCAGACAAGTTACTAGCATCGGAAAGAGCTTTCTCCCATTTCTTCACTTCCTTCAAATACTTCCCGAACTTGGACTCATGCTTAATCATAGCTTTTCCGTACCTCTCTCTTGGTGTTCTCACTTCTCTAGGTTCCACTTTGTAAAACCAGGGAAAGACCATGAGATCTATTTCTTTCTTGCACTCCATGATTCTCGCCACCTCTTCCAAACACCACCATGAGGAAGCGTAATCCTCAGAGAAAATGATTATCGCGATCTGTGATTCCTCGATTGCCTTCATAAGCACCGGCACTATTTGCTCTCCTTTCCTGAGCTCCTCGCTATCAACATAAGTGTAGATTCCTTTTTGGTCAAGAGCTCTGTAGAGATGACCGAGAAAGTTGTTCCGCACGTCCTTGCCTCTGAAACTTAAGAAAACATGGTAAATCCTTTCACATTTCGATGAAGAAGCCATTAGATGATGGAGTTCAATAATCTGCAACGAGTATTAGCTTAAGATTTGGCAGAGTGTTTTTAGGTAGTCCGTTCACCATTCGATCTTCTTGTTGATTTATTCTTATCCTAAAGGACAGAGGCGCATGACTTTTTTAGGGCAGGGTCAACAAAAAAGAATATTAGAAATTTGGAAAATGATGGTGCTTCTGGATGGACCAAGATATCTAATAGGTGTGAACACGTGGACTTATTTTTTCTGAAGACCACATATCACAGGGTTATTCCGATTGGCTGATTGATTGACGAGTTTGTTTGTTTGATATTGTATTTATTGGTAAATTATCGACAAATTTGACCAGTCAACAAGCCAAATGGCCGACGAAGGCAGAGAATAGTATAGGTCACTACTGGTCCGAGTGGACTCAATTATTGCGTAAACTGACAAAGAACTTTTGCTGGCTTCCTCGAAATCACATCCACGACCTCCGAGTAGTTGTTTCTTCTTTGCTAAATCGTAATTAAACACGTGACCCCTCAAAATAGACATGGCCACGGGCCAGTTTTGGTCTGGAACCGGCCCGGGTCAAACCCGGGATCGGCCCGTTGATCGTGCTCGCGGTTCGGAACCGGAACCGGCCAGTGGCCTACGAGCCCGGTTTCGGTTCCAACAATTTTGGAACCAACGGTTCCAGGCCCGATTCAAAAAAAAAATTCATTCTTTCTCTTCTTCAAATTTGATTACAATATACATTTTGGTTACATTTTATATTGAATAATTCATTATTTCATAATTTGATAATTCATTATTTTTTTATTTCATAATTTATTTTTTTAATTTTTATCGGCTGGTTTCGAACCGGGCCAAAACCGAAACCGGCCCGGAACTGCCGATTCCGGTTCATACATGGCCACGAACCGGAACCAGCAATTTCGGTTCGTGGCCATGTCTACCTCAAAAGACATATCATCATACGCACGATCAAATATTTCAGCAAAGAACAATATTAGATCTATTAATAAAATTAGAACTTTAGAAATGGTTCTTAAGTGTGGACCGCTATATCTAATAGGTGTGAACCCATCAACTTATTTTCTCTGGAGAACGGATATCACGGCAATATTCAGATTATCTTATTTTACACAAGTTTCTTTGTTTTTATATCAAATTTATTGTTAAATAGTTGATGCTCTTGAGTGGTCAACAAAAGTGTTTTCAATTAATGTACCGGATTCGAGGCTTTTGTCTATGTAGTCTTCGTTTTTCTTTTGGAAAATGAAGTATTTCATGTCATTAGGTTAGCTTTTATCATATGCTCACTAATAGAAAAAATTTATGGCTTCCTCGAAATGGCAATCCCAACTTCCAAATAGTCGTTTTTTCTTTTTTTTTTCCTTTTCTCCAAACTGTCGATAATAATTTAACACATGACCACTCAAAAGATATATAATTGATACGTACAACTAAGTATATAATTGGTCTAGCCCTATTTCATTATTTTTATAACTTAGGGGCACGAGAACAAAAGCCCAGCTACCCCGGAAGCTTATATAACTCTCTAGTGAAAACTCTTTTAACATTTCAACACTGCAAAAGACATGATATATATCTATATGGCTATTTTGTGAAGACTTCATTGAAAGAGTAACAATTGTAATTTTTGGGTCATGTGGGAGTGAAGAAAGACATCCCAGCCATACCTGTATGCTATGTTATAAACATCTAATACAAGCTAGCAGGTATGAATATTAAGAAAGTTTTATTGTGAATTTGATCACAGCGTGACACGACTCTAAAGAATGACAAGTCTAGGCCTCTTGGATGTCAATCATATTCACATGTAAACAAATGACGGAACTCTGTTTTACCCTACATATGAAAACAGTACTTTCTAATAGTCAAAGAATTACAACATTCCAGACCAGATGTTAAAAGAGTAAGTTTTTCAAAGTTTATACCTCTAACCTCGAAACAAAACTAGTGCTTCAAATAAGACCATAATGAATTCACACTTTCTAAACATAACAGCAAGATGAAAAGTAACTCAAGGGCAAGGAGTGTTAGCATTTCGTGTACCTAGTAAAGCAGAAGAAGCAAAGTTGTCATAGTTTATGCATACATTTTGGGAGACAACTCCCCATTTTGACATAATGTGCAAGTTTAAGGAGGCCAAAGAACATCAATAGTCTAACAAAAAATGATAATCTTTTCTCTTAATGCACACACAGCTTCAAATGTAACGCCCAGTGTAACTTCCATTTGTGGAAAGTGTTAAATGTGGTAAGCACAACCTGAAACCTACAACAAGCAAACTAAGTTCAAGTATGCATCGTCAGGACTATGAATTAAAATTCACTCAAAGATCCAACTTTCATCCATAGAAAAAAGGAATCCTACAAGTTAGTGCTAGAATATTACTGGCAGAGGTATTGTGAAATTCGTCTTCAACATGAACAAGATTGTTCTCCAATGTGGTCAGGAATGTCACGCCCCGAACCCCACGGCACGCGACAACCCTACTGAGGTCGATTCAGTGTAACGTCCCAGGACACGTCGCCGACCCAAAACCCAACACAGAGAACAATGCACATGCGGAAGCAACATAACACCCGAACAATATAAAACAATATGACCCAGGGATAGCAATAAACACAATAAATACAACTTGCCTTAATAACAGGGATTTACAATATTCATTATAACAGAGATCTACAAAACACCAAAACGGGTCAGCAGCCACTAACGTCAAAAAGGGGTAGGTGGCTCGGGCGGTCAGAGTACTAAACCTAGAGAGGGCACCTATAAAAAAGTGTCAGTCCTACCTAACTATGGTCAAAACTAAACCCTAGGGCAACCAGTCCGGATCGGATCCTGAGGACTCGGACGAATCGTCAGACAACTCGGACTCAGAATCCATCGAATCCGGCTCGGACTCGGCATCCACTGACTCCACCCCGGAATCATCCTCCGGCTCAAGCTCTTGCTCCATAGGCTCCGGCGCCGGCTCGATGTCAGACTCCCATTCCATTGGCTCCTCTCCCTCGGACTCGGTATCCATCCCGATGACGACTGGCTGAGGGTCAGAATCCTCCTCGGACGTGATAGCGGGGCTCACGATCTCTCCATCAATAGCCTGCGGATCCGACCGGCCTAACGCATCGAACGGGACATCAAAGGTCCTAAGGGGTCCATGGGTGTCGAACTGGTCCCGAAAACACCAAGCGAGATAAGGATGGGCTCGGAACGGTGACCCGCCCTCATCGACCCAAACTATATTGTAATACCTAACATAAGTCTCCCCGTTCCCTACGAGGTACTCCGTCACCGATCGCTCTATGCGATACGGGATCCCAAAACGAAGCGGTGCTTCTGCCATCTCAAGGTCGGGGGTCTGAAAAGTGAGGTTTAAACAGCAATGAGAATAAATCTCAGCGAGTAGGCCCCCTAAACCTAAACTAGGCTAACATGCACCTCCGGACAAGTATAAACCAAACACACAATGCAACAATCGAACGACTTAGGCCCCCGGCCCAATCAAATATATTCTTGACCCTGCAGGTTAGGCACGTAAGACTAATAATAATAGTACAGAACCCAGCCATGACACATACGCAATATCACTTGGCCACGACGCATGTCATGCACATGCTCATGCTCATACTCATGCTCATGTCTCATCGATGCACTTTTGCACACTTGCACACTTGCCAATTTTCCATTTATTCACCGACCCGCGTAAAACGCATCAGGTCCGACCCGCGTAAAACACATCAGGTCTTTTACTCATCAATCGATCTCCGGCCCGCGTAAAACGCATCAGGCTCATGACATAACCCGCGTAAAACGCATCAGGTTGGCCATCTTCCGGTAGTCCAGGCATCGTCCCGCGTAAAACGCATCGGGGTTTTATGTGATTTCACGTACACATCCACCAGTTATTAACTGAACCCCGCGTAAAACGCATCAGGGCGATTTAGGTGATCACATGCTCATGCCATTCGTGCACACTCGCATAATGCATATGTTATGCCAATGCTCGATATGCACATTCATAACCCGCCAAGCATCTCGATTCTCAGTCACATCAAGCAAACAACATGGCATCTCATAATTGATCTCAATTCATGCATAATTCGGCCACCACATAAGCAAATCAAGGCACACTCGGCGACTCACAATTAAATCGCAAATTAATCACACCTGGCCCAATTCGGCCCGTCATGATCAGCCCTTAAACAGTCCACTCTAGGCTGCTAATCCACCTCCAAATCATCACATTAGGCCATTAAATCACCACACAATCAGCCACTACTCAGCCCGCACATTGCACCCATTTTAATCCACATAATTGTCCAAACTAAGTCCATAATGATCAGCCAACAACCAGCCCATTCTAGGCCACCAAATCGCATTTAAATCATCACACTAAACCACCAAAATAGCCACAAAGTCAGCCCTAATCAATGGCCACTTAATCAACCCCTAAAATACCCTAATTACCCCTAAAACTTGTCTAAAGTGTACATAATCCTAATTAGGGTTTAGGGTTTGTACTCATTAGGTCTTAAGCTCCAAATATGGCTGAACAAGGAGGAGGAATGGGCTGCACGGTGGCTGGCTCAAGCCGGTTCAGTGGTGGCGCTCCGGCAGTCCTCACGGCGGCGGACGGTGGGCGACTCTCGGTTAGCTCACACGGCAAGGGGGCGACGGTGATGGTGATGGTGCCGAAATGAGAAGGAAGAGAGAGAGAGAGAGAGAGAGTCGGTCGAATGGGGGCGGTGATGAGGCAAGATGGTGGCGGACGGGCTGTGGTGAGCGGCGTGCGGCACCGGCGGGCGGCGGCGGGCTGTTCCGGCGTCTCCTTCGTGCGGTCGAGAGGGAAGGAAATGGAGAGAGTGGCGAGAGGGGAAGGAGTGGCCTGAGGAAGATGGTGAGAGTGAGAGGAGAGAGAGATTGAGAGGGAGTTTTGAAGAAAATGGTGAGTGGGGTGGTTGACCAAACCCACCAAAAATGTCCATCTTGTCCTCAATTCAATGGTTAGGATCATCTCTTGCAAAAATATCTAGGGGCAATTTAGTCCTTGATTTTTGGCAATAATAGGGGCTGATTAGTCTAAATTAAACCCCAAAAATTCGGAATTAACACTTAGGGGTCCAGGGGCAAATCGGTAATTTTCCACTTCCGGTCTAAAGTTTCATTTTTCGACCATACCGATCCCAAATATGACTGACCACACTAATACGACGTCGTCCTTGCAAAAATAGTCACGTACGTCCGTGAAATTCGACACTTAAGTCCGGATTCAATTCCACGATTAATTTCGCTCAAATGCGATTTTAGCGTCTCTCACTAACGGGCGGCTGTTTAGGGGTTATGCGTATCGACTTAGAAAACTCGAGTCGTGACGGTCTCGATTCTCAAGAGAACGCGAGGATTTATCGCTAGTTCCGGGGGTTGCGATCGTTCGGAATAAGTTTGGGATTGTTTGCCACGCGTACTCTCGGTCGTGTGGAATCACCCGTGATCCAATCGTACGTCGTTGGCCAAGCCAAATCCGTCACCCTCCTTGGATCGGCCCACATTGGCCCAAAATATTCCCTCGTCGTTCCTCGAAATCGGAGCTCGATTCACGGTCGAGTTCTTGGGTCCACGTACCGTTTTTCCTAGTTAGCCATTCCCTATTGGTCAATATCCCGAGAATAATCAGTTCCGGGCGAGACTCACTAAAACGAAATGAGGAATACATATCCATTTCATTGATCACGAAAGTGGGTCGAATTCAAAATGTTACAAGGAAGACTCAGGCAATTGGGTGCCCCAGCCACATATTCGCAAGACTTAAGAAAATAGATGGCACCAGAGTTATGGACTTCAACCACACATAACACAAAATAATCCATAGGAAAAGCAAAATGACGAGTTGACTAATCACTATTAAAATAAAAAGTTTCTACTTCTCATCCAACACATAAGTGAGTGTCGATAACTGATCAATTGTGCTAGACCATTGAGATTTTATTGTGCTTTTATGACTACTAGTTTCTATCCAAACATCTGCTCAACTTGAACAAGACAAAAAACCATGAGAGTACTAATTTTGGCACCACAAGTAAACTAGCCCCACTTGGTACTGTCGATTTGTTGAAGAGATCCAGCAAAATTGTGAGAGAACTTTAGGTGAAGTTAAATTTCATCCAGAGATTAAGAAGCTTTTGTTATATCTCATTGACCTAATGAGGAGACAGATGGGCTCTAAGAATGTAATAGAGGTGTTGAGGAGAAGAGTTAATGGGAGTTTTCAAAAAAAGGAATCAAAAAAGAGGAGGCAGGGCAGGAACCTTTCTTTTGTTTGGGTGGGTTTCTTTTCTTTTACCAAGTGGTACTTCCTTCTCTCTAAATGCCCCAATTTCTCTCTCTCTCTCTCTTTCCTAGAGAGAGATGGAAAGTAGCTATTTCCAAGGCTCTAAGTTTTCTCCCTTAATTTAATTCTGCAGAAGGGATATCTTATGTCTAAATAGTTTCTTTTTTTCTGGTGGCTTCAAAGCCATAAACCAAGTGATAAATACTCACCTCTCAACAGAAATCCCTGCATGGAGCCAATGGATGGCAATGTCATCCAAAGCAAGATTTCCTCCCAAGTCTCCAACTTTCCACATGCCCAACACATACAGCTAAGAAATGTTTGAATTCCCTTAGCCTCCTAGACTAAACCAAAGCTGATAAAAAAGCCATGGATTCCACATGGATGCATTATCTATTATGTCAACAATTAAAGTAAGCCAATATTGTATAGTGCTCATAGAGCAGCTCCACTCTCATCAATGCTTAACACAACGAGCAAACTCAGGATGCTTACAGGTTCATGACAGGAGAAATAACCTCATGCCCTCGCTACCAATAATCCCCGCAAGAGCAAATGCCACTCCTAAAGCAATGAATGCGGCTGGAATCTCTCACAACCATCTCACGATCAACAATCTTTGCAGTAAGTTTAATTGCAAAATGTCATTCCCCACAAATGCAAAGATTCTTCATTACAGTTATTGTACTACCCTTGATAGTAATAATGACCCTTCCTTCTGTTCGTCTTCCATGTCATGGAGAGAGAACCTCTTATTTGGAACGTTACCCGATTCCTTCAACTTCAGTTTCAACCAATCCGGCTTCCAATATATGTTCTCACTCAAACGGTGAGATTTATCCCTAGAAAGAAATAAATGCTTTTGCCCCTTTATAGTAACCCAACTGCTACCTGGTTGCTTCACAATCCATTGATCCCTCATAGTCACTCTTAATCTCGAGACATCACCCCACCTATTAGCAAAAGCATAGAAGTTGGACAGTAAAACATAAGCAGCACTACAATGTGGTTTTGGGTCAAGAATATAGTTTGCAGCTCTTTCTGTCAAATCTAGGTTAGAATGCATCCTGCAAGAACTAAGCCAAGCAAGCCACACTATGGAGTTAGTTTTAAAGGGCATGTTCTTACAATATCCTCTGCTTCCTCTAGCTTCCCACATCATCCTAGCACATCCACCATGCATGCATAATGCTCATGCTTCAATTCACTGGAAGTGTTCTAACTAAAGTATCTGAACAAGCACCTCCCCTTTTGTAACATCCCAGAATGACTACAGGAAGAAAGTAGTCCCGTGAGTGTGATCTCATCTGGTTGTACCAGTCTGCGAATCATTTGGCTAAACAACTCCATAGCCCACATCCCTCAAGCATGTTGTGCAAACCCGCAAACAACGACATTCCAGGTGACAATGTCCTTCTCCCCGAGTCTTTTGAACACTACAACAGCATCATCAATGCCTCCACACTTATTATACCTGACTACAAGAGAATTGCCAACAAAAACATCACTTTCCAATTTCGGCTTTACAGCTGACGCATGGACCTCCTTACCTCGATCTAGAGACTCTAAAACTACAGCAAGAGTTTAAAGAACTTAGAGAAGAAGATTGATTAGGAAGAACACTTGTTCTCATCATGTCACTGAACACCTCCAGGCCATCTTCATGCCTACCATTCGAGCCATAACCAGTTAGAAGAGCCGTGCATATGACCACATTCCTATAAACTGCTTCATTGAAGACTTGGGTTGCTTTCTCAATGCGCTTGCAATTAGCATAGAACGTGATGACAGAAGCACATACAAATCGACTAAGGCAGAATCCTGACTTGAAAACATGACCATGAATCTGCACACCAAGAGGAAAAGATGATGCATTTGCACAGGCACTCAATGCACATGTCAAGTTACTCGAATTGGGAACAACACCAGACTCGAACATTCTCTCAAAAAGGATTAAAGCCTCTTCACTCTTACCATTTTGGTCACGCCCGCTAGTCCTTGGAGTCCATGGAATCACATTTCGAGAAGGCATTTGCTCAAACAATTTCACAGCATCATCAACCCTCGCATTCTCACAATACCCATGAAGCATCGCATTCCATGCAGCAAGATCCCTTATGAGCATCTGTTTGAAAAATCTCTCTACCTGTTCAACTTGTCCAAATCGAAAGAACCCATCTATCATTGTCGTCCATGAAACAACACTTGGTTCGGGCATTTCATCAAAAAGCTCTTCCGCCATCATCAAGTCCCCGCAGTCTAAGCAGCCTTTGATCATTGTGTTCCTGCAAATTGCATCTCTCACGGGTATTTCGTAGAACAGTTTCAGGGCATCGTCAAGGCAGCCAGTTCGCTGGCAACCCATGATCATCTTTGTGAACGAATGAACATCTAGATATTGAAATATGTCCAGAACCTCCCGAGTTTCATCTGGCTTTTCGTTCTTAAGGTGTCCAGAGACCGCGGGACTGTCACTAGTTGCATGACTCGCACGTTTAAAGAAGCGCTTGGAGACTTGGGTGTAGGTTTCGCATCTGAGATTTGGGACATTATCTCGTGAGCTTTTACAATTACTGGATGATCAAGGCTGATATAACATAGGCACTTGTTTCGGTAAATTGGGAAATTTTGCTTGCTTGCTTGTATTATTTCACTAAAATTTCAATAAATTGTAATGTGGATTAAACCTTGTGTTACTACTCCTTGTTTCTCTCTTAGTTTGAATGGTGGCTTGGAGGGCTGTCACGACTTCCTGAACGGTCGGGAGACGGATTTAGAGGTAACGTCGAGTTAAGGGACCAACGGTTCTCAATCATCACGAGTTCTCCTGAACCTTTACATTGCGCGATGTCAGGAAATTCATTTCAACTAATTAAACCTACGAAAATCCTATACAAGAGTCGCCAATAGCTTATTGTGGTCAATTAGAAACCTTCAGTACCTAGGTCAGGGACTTGATTAATCTTCAATGTACTCCATATATTCCAAAGGTTCTCCAGATTGAAATTGAATTCTAATAAAATACAATTATTTTTGGTTGGATATGAGGATCGATACTGTGCTAAGTTGCTTCAATTGAGTGGCTTTAAATGTGGAAATTTGTCTGTCAAGGTTTAGGATCTTTCTCTTACCCCTGGTAGACTAAGTGACAAACGATGTAGGTCTTTGATCAGGAAGATTCCAAATGGAACGACGGCATGGACTGTAAAAACACTTCATTTATGCAGGTAGACCGCAATTGATCAAGTTTGTCGCATTTTACAACTTGATAAACTATAATTGTCAAAATTTTGTTAAGCCAAGAAAGTTGGTATGAAATGCCCAGCATTTGTGTAAAGGAAGGTCAGAAAATACTCATGGGGCCAAGGTTGATTGGAAGAGGTTTGTTTGCCTAGGATTGGAGCCTTGTTTCTTCATATGACGTATACAATAAAGAGGATATGGTATTAGCGGCGCACGGCACAGCCCGGTACTGTTGGGCCTATGTCTGGGCACTGGCCCATTAGGTTGCAGACCGTTAGGGATCACACATGATATAGACCAGAATTATGAAGCTCAAACACATCAAGAGCACGCCTAGAATTGCCTCAAACTTCGAAAGCTCATAAAAAAATCAGGTTGGATTATAGAATATTTTGATAACAAAAATGAGCATCAGAAAGCTGATGCCTACACAGGGTTATGCCATAAATTATCTTACAATCTGATAATCATGTTAAAGCATGAAATGTACTTGTGATCACAGCTGCAATCCTTAGAAAACACATAAACATCAAGGCAAAAACTGATCCGGACATGCATCACGCTTCCTTTCTTAGGTCCCTTGATGAAATTCTGTGATCGAAAAAGCAGTAAACGAAAATGCATTGTCGGTCAAAGCGCACTGAATCATTTGTAGATACTTTATCGTCAATAACGTTCACACGAATCTCTATACTTAAAGGGCTATTTGAACAACACTATGATTATACAACTTTTTATGATTTTGAGACAATAATCACCATTAACTGTTTCTGACATCACAAAACAAACAGCATAAAATCTTATTATGCTAGAGTATGCACCAACGATGTCGCATCCAGATTTGCACTTTACATGTAGTATACAAAGGATCACAAAACTATTAGTTCGTAAGTTATTTTGCGATGAGTTCACCTCAAGAATGGGAATTACCGTGAACTGCAAGTTTGACTTTAGGTTTAGTCAAATTAAGAGATTAACTGACAAGAATAAGAATAATGACCATTTTTTTTTGGTAAGGTAAGAATATGTATAACTTTCCAAATCACAAAGTACAACCTAAGCCCAAACCAGCTCATGACCATATTAGGACATAGTAATGTCCATACAAGGTCAAGAGGGTCCAGCAGGAACTATATAACAAGCCGAAGGACGGCTAAGAACATGGAAAAAGAAATAAGAAGACAAAGATAACCAATCCAGCCCTAGATTGGATGGGCGACGCCAAAAACTCCGGCAATCTCTGAAGAGGGCCCCGGAACAGCGAGAGCAAGACTACCCAAGCAAGACAAAAGGCGCCGGAAACCAAAACCACCACAATAAGCCGGGCCAAACCGAACCATGGAGGTGAAGCCCACAACTCCGGAATCCCCTCCAAAAGGCACCAGATCAGCCATAATCGTCATTAATCAAAGATAGAAGGAGGAAGGTCCCACTTTCTCTGGACAATGCGGTTCCTATAAGTATCCTCAACTGTCCCCATGGAAATAGCTTTGTCCTTCATGACTTTGAAGAGATGCTTACGCATACCAGGGATGAAAACGCTTTTGTTCCTGAAGATAGCGTTGTTCCTTTCGGTCCAAATAATGTGACATAGAGCACCAAAGGAAAATCTAGAAATGCGGTGGGCAAACGAAGATCCTCCGCAAACTTTCATAGCCTAGAGGATATGTTCTTGCCAGGGACGATTGCGCCAAGGTAGCCTGCAATTTGTCGCCCAAAGAGAAGCCAATCTACTGGTAGAAGTGCATTCAAAGAAGAGATGGTTGATTGAGTCTGGTGTAGATCCACAAAAGGCACAGAGAGCATCGGCAATCCTGCGATTTTGTAACAAGAATACCTGGGTAGGTAGCCGGTTAAGGGATATTAACCAAAGGAGAAAAGCATGACGAGGAGCTATGTGCCGATCCCAAATGAAGGAATGCCAGGGGGTTGGATGCCATTTCCTTCGGATATGATTCAAAGCAAGAGTAACAGAAAAGGAATTAGAAGGATGAGGTGTCCAACCGAAGCTGTCCAACAAGCTATCCACAATAGACGGAAGGGGATCCATCCAACCCATAATAGTGGCAAGGGTGTTAGAAGGTTGCCAAGAACCTTCGTAGAAAGATCGCACTGTAGCATCCCGAGGAATGCGCGATTGATAGATCTCCGCATTACTAAAAAGCAAGTATAGCGGGCCCCTGCTGTGCCACCAGTCAAACCAGAAGGATACAGAGTGCCCATTTCCAATCTTCCATCGGAACATAGCTTGAGCAGATAACCGCATATCAAGGATTTTCTTCCATGTCCAAGAACAGAAGGTAGGTTTGGGCACAAGCCAAAAATTTGCCTTCTTTAAAAAGGTGGAGTGTATCCACTTACACCACAAGGATTCTTTGTCGGTAAAGAGAAGCCAAATGTGCTTTAAAGTCATAGCATTGTTGTATTCAACAAGTCTCCGGATGCCTAGGCCGCCTTCCTCTTTGGGTAAGCAAACAGCCTTCCACACTACTTTAGCTCCACCAACTCCAAGGTCGGGACCTTTCCATAGGAATTGCCGCAGAAACGCCTCAATACTATGCAATCGATTTGGGTAAAGAAAAGATGGTGGCCCAAAGATACTTGAATGGAATGCAAGACCGACTTTATAAGTCGTAGGCGACCAGCAAAGGAAAGAAAGCGTTGGGACCAAGAACGGGCACGAGCCGTGATAGAATCAATCAAGGCTTTACAGTCCACCTTACGCAGTCTGGTTGAGATAATAGGCACACCAAGATAACGAAATGGCAATGTACCCTGCTGAAACCCGAGGCATTGAATTAACTGGTCATGCAACGCCTGAGTCCCTCCCGTGATGAAGATGTTGCTCTTCGCCTTATTCGGTTTTAATCCAGACCAATCAGAGAACAAGAGGAGAGATTCATTTATCAGTTGAACTGACCTCAAGTGACCTTCTGCGAACAGCAGTACATCATCCGCAAAGAAGAGGTGCGATAACCGGGTCTTTTTGCATCGCCAAAACCAGTGGAAATCCGGCATATCAGTTTTAGCCTTTAGAATGCCCGAGAAGATCTCCATAACCAGAATAAAAAGGTAAGGCGATAGAGGGTCTCCTTGGCGAATCCCCCTAGAGCTCCCAAAGTAGCCATGCAATTTGCCATTAATGGAAACCGAAAATTTTGCTGTCGTAACACAAGCCATCACCAGCTTGGTAAAGGAGACAGGAAAGTTGAAGAATAATGACCATTATGATTAGAATAAACCAAGAATCAGGAATGAAGAGCAAGGATGTTGTCTAACTTCATTTTGAAGACCTTTATATTGCCTCGTGATTAAATATTACCATACAAGAGAATTTATAGCTGTAGGTATACTCAATCGTCGCATGAGCATCATATCATACTGCCACAGCAAGAGACATTGCCACAGCGCCCTAATCCATGCCATTCCATTGTTAACAGCTACACTACAGAAAGGTCACAGCATGCAGCCCATTTATTATATGCACAAGTAACTGATCATCGTTCAATATGCAGCAGAGGTGCTTCAAAATAGTATACATGATGTACATTATGTTCAGAAAAGCAAGGAATCATAAGTTCAAAGGTCTTACCTAGTTGTGCAAAGGCATAAGAAGACTCAACAGGAAGAATCAATGCACGTAGATCTAATGAGAAGCCTGAGTAACCCGTGACCTGTGAGGCTTTGGAGCTGAAAATCAAAGATTAGGATTCAGCATACATATATATAAACAAATCATAGATTCCACAATGTCATAAACAGAGAATGAATTGAAAAGGAGGGGAAAAAAGGAGAAGAGAAATGATATTTCATGTAACAAGGTTCAACAAAACAAAGAAGAAACATGACCCAAATTGATTTTATCATTGCAAAGGTCAATTATTAAAGACCATCTTTTCTGTATGTAATGAGTTTCCAAAGCGTACTAATTATCTCAGAGGAATGAAAAGGTTCTGGTCCGATCAGTCTCTTGAAATATTTGCAACTGAAGAGCACAAACTGGACAATTGCTCGACCAAGAACCATATATAATTAGTAATTCACGACAGGGATCAAGGAAGAAGATATTTCTCTCTAACGAGTCTAACCAATGGATTATCAACTATTAAGATACTGCACTTCATCTTTTTCCTTAACCAAGGACATGACATCCCATTTTTCAAATGGCAATCCGGCTAGGTATACTGAGTCTAGAGGAAGCAACATATGAAATGTTCTTTCTCTAGCTGGTTGAGAGAATTGATTGAAAAGTAGAAATAAAAAGAGGCTTCCTGAATTCTTCTTAATCAATATGGAAGGGGATTAGTGCTAGGAAGACCGTCGTATTAGGCTCTAAAAGATAAATTTTTCTAGAAGGGTCTTTCAGAGAGACGTTGCTAGCAGGCACAATCTCAACTTCATTGATTGATGAAGAAAACTTTGGTTCACAGGTAGAATTTCTCTATTATGCTCATAAAAGCCTCTTAGAAAGTATTTAACCATGGGCCCATTGAAAACAAACTACCATTTCCCTTAGGTTATCTAATGTAAATAGGTGCAAACTGCATTATAATAACATTCTTTCGAACAGACAATACAACTGATTAAAATGGTTGATTGCCATTTATACCATTAGGTTTTCCTCGTTCATAAAAATCTTGTAGAAGAGAATTGGCTTCTGATGCCATTATACCTCCACAGCATTTGAAACCCTTTGATCCAGAATTCCCAATACTGCAAGAATAACAAGAAAAAAGTTAGAAACATTCATAAATCAGGCAGATGCATCCCAGAATGCTTTTGACACATAATCAGATTATGAATCGAAACATAACTGTAAATTTCAAGCTCTAAAAGTATTGAGTTTTCATGGTTTTTTTTTCCCTGAACTTTTTGCTTAGATGCATCCTTGGTACATCTCTTGCTTCTTCCCCCAGTACTTGAGCTTGTTCTTTCAAAACTAACAATTTGAACAGAAAAATAATGTCCGTAATCTAGATTAGCAACTTCATGTACTGCTCAAATCACAATGAAACAGATCCTGTTTCACTACGTTTTAACTTTTATTTCAACAAAGTCAGAGCAAAAAATTGATTAGTTCTGAACAAGCGTAGGAAACATGAAATGTTAGCTCATAACAACGTCAGACAGTTGAAATATCATACTGGAAACACAAGCCATACACCATAGTTTAGCAGGCACATGCTCTCATGTAGGAAGAAGAGATGAAGAAACAGGGGAGAGGGAAAAGGAAAAAAGAAACTAATGTTAGCTTAACTTGTGGCACTTCCCAGAACTATAAACTTTTTAGGGCAAACAAAGAATACCGAAATGTCTAACAAGTCACCGAGAATTTAAGAAAAAGGAAACAAAGCAGGAAAAGAAAGAATAAATATAAACTTGACCTCTTAATGCTTCCAGAGACACCATTTTCTTCCATTTAGACTGAGGAAAGAACAGAAAAGATGGAAAATTAGTTCCATAAACCTCCATTTATTTTCGTGGTTATGTGTTGCAATATCTGACGTGGCAACAACATGCAGAATCACTACGAACCCACATCCATCAGTCATCAACATAATGAATCATAAACCTCCAGTAAGCTTTAGTTGTCAATTGTTATATGTCACAATTTCAAAGTAAAGCTATGTAAATACAAAACCAGCAGCAAAAGCAAGTTCATGAACTGACCTAATGTGTGCCTCAGAGCTACTTGAATGCAACGACATTATTGACCCATAGCCTCCAAATGTTTCATTTGCACAGCCATAATATACTTCCTTTAAATCTAAACGGGAGAGAGTCATCTAATCATAAATAAACAAATTTTAGGAAAGTTCGGTTTTATTTCAGTAGGATCAACGGATGTACCAATGATCGATAATGCTACTGCACACATTATGCATGGTTCACATGTCACATAAAGGGAGCATGCTGAAAACTTCTCTGCAACTTCTGCAGCCGAAAATCCAGTCCTCTGCCACTATAGAAGAAGAACATCAAGAGCTTCCATCTCTGCATGTCTCGTTGCCCATGAGAGCACAAGGGGAAAAACGAAGCAAGCATATCAACCCTAGGAGCTTTGTCATGAGAAATATTTCTCCTTCAAGTTAACTGATTAAGAGTATATATAAGATTGATCAAGGCATATACTACATGAAGTCAACAAGTTTTACTCACTTGAAGTTGCTGAGAATCTCACTAGGAAAAAGAGGCTTCTTATTGGATGAGCCACCTCCACCTTTTTTAATAGTATTTTTTTAATATACCTCTGTAGCAAGGTGCCTTTGTTTTTTTATTAATCTCCACAAGATACTAAAAGGGCCAAATATTTTTCACATCAACTATTCATTGCTATCCATAAAATCATTTATAGTCATGAGAGCAATGTATTGTCACCTCATCTCATGACTATAAATGATTATAGAAATAGACTATTAGGGGTTTGTTTAGTAACATTTCTGTTCCTAAAAATAATTTCTGTTCAGAAATAGTTTTTTCTATTTCTATTCCCTAGAAGAGTTTCTGAGCAAAAAAATGCGTTTAGTAACTGTACAAAATTTCTATTCCCGGAGTAGAAAAAGAACAGAAATGCATTTGGCAGGACACTAAATATTTTTACTCCCAATTTTTTCATTTAATTATGAAATTGTCGGCGGAGACTTAACAATTCATGTTTGGATAAAATTGGACTAGAAATAGAATAAGAATATATTATGATATAGGATTGGCTGACCTTAATACAATCATAAAGAAAATTACTCCTTATAGACAAAGCAAATACCGGGAGATGGTTGAGGAAATTGCTGTTTAGGGCACTTAACAATTCATATTTGGATAAAATTGGACTAGAAATAGAATAATAATATATTATGATATAGAATTGGATAACCTTAATACAATTATAAAGAAAATTACTCCTCATAGACAAATCAAATATCGAGTGGTTGTCGAGGAAATTGCAGTTTAAGGTGTAGGATTTTAGGATTTGGGGTTAGGGGTTAAGGTTTTAGGATTTCGGTTTTGAGGTTTAGGGTTTGGGGTTCTGGGTTTTAGATTTTGGATTTTATGGTTTAGGTTTTAGAGTTTCGGGTTTGGGGTTTTAGGTTTAGCGTTTCGGATTCTAGGGTTTGGGGTTTAGTGGTTTAGTATTTATGGTTTTAGGGATTCAGGTTTTGGGTATTGGGATTTGGATTTAGGGTATAGAGTTTAGGGTTTATAGTTTATGGTTTAGGGTTCCGGGTTTTGTGGTTTAACGTTTTAGGATTTACGGTTTGGAATTACGATTTTAGGGTTTAGGTTTTAGGATTTTAGGTTTGGAGTTTCGGGGTTTAGTGTTTCGGGTTTTGAGTTTGGGATTTTAGGGTTTAGGGTTTGGATTTACGGTTTTAGGGATTTGGGTTTTGTGGTTTGGGGTGAGTTTAGGGTTTCGGGTTTTTCATTTTAGTGTTATGGGTTTTAGGGTTTGGGTATTGAGGTTTAAGGTTTTGGGGTTTAGGGTTAAGGTTTAGGATTTTGGGGTTTAGGGTTTGAGGGTTAACGTTTAAGGTTTGACGGTTAAGGTTTAGGATTTGGGGTTTTAGGGTTTAGTATGTGAATATCTTTTGAAAAATGAAGAGCTGATCTTGCTTCTCTATTGTTTTTTTTTTATTCCAGAAACAGAAAAGTAGATTTTTTTTACTTCTTATTTCTGTTCTAAATCTATTCCAAGAACAATTTTCTGTTCCGGGGAACAAAAAAACTAACTAACGTTACTAAATGGATTTCTGTTCTTTTTTCTATTCCGAGAAACAAAATAATAGAAAAACAGAGAAACATAAATGTTACTAAACAGACCCTAGATAAGAGATGATCCCTACCAGAAATCAGGCTTAAACTAGTTGTGTAAATGGTCATTGTATGAAGAACTGTGCCCAAGTAGCAGGTTCTTACAACTTAAAAGGCAATACAATGGTCACAATGCATTTTTAGACCATTTAAGTAAACCAAAAGTCTAGCTAAATACAGCCAAAGAGAACAATTTTAGGAACTTCACAAAAGCAGATAAAAATATGGTTCCAGACAGAGCACAATGGTAAACAAAAAACGTAAAACATTGTGCATAATAACGCAAGATTGTTGTTATTGTTAACCGTAGCCATATTTTATGAAGAGCAATGGGAATAAAGCCCCTTACAGCCTAATAATGCATGGATAATTTC